GAAAACACAGTTTCATTTTATTTTGTATTTTTAAATTTAATTAATTTTTTGAGACAGAGTCTCATGTATCCCAGGTTTGCCTTAACTTGGTCTGTAGCCAGGGATGATCTGATTGATCTTCTTGCTCAACCTCTCCAGGGCTAGGACTGAAGGCCTTTGCCACCAGCCTGACTTGTTCTGTGCTGGGAAATCCAAGGCTTCATGCATACTAAGCAAGCACTTTACCAGCTGAGCCATGTAGTCCTCTTCCTCCTTTTATTTTCTTTTACCTTAAGATAAGAGCTTATTATTAGCACTGGCTGGCCTGGAACTCACTTTGTAGATCAGGCTTATCTCCAATTTAGGAGAGCTGGGATTATAGGTGTGTGCCACCACCCCTGGCTGTCATTCTGTATTTCTTATGTTTATTTTATTTTGATGATTGTTAAAAATTAGACCTCAAGTTAACCATGACATGTTTTTTCCTATTTGTTTTTTTATTTCAGTTAACATCTTATTGCACATTTACTATGAGCCAGGTACTGTTTTGGACTCTGTTAAATGCATTTTCTTTGCTCAGTCATAGAAATAACATTTTTGTATTTAAGTAAAATAATAGAAATATAGAAAGAAAAGAAGAATCACATTCATCTAGATACTTATTATTTTGATGCTTTTCTCACTGTCTTTTCTTTTTCTCCTAGGAATATAAATTTAAATATTTAGACACACTTATCTTGATATTGAATGGACATTGGTTTATGTACCCTGTTTTTTTAATATTGCTTTTTCTTTTTCTACTCTAATATTCTTTTTATTTCCCCTCTTCTTTTTTTCTTTCATTTTATTGTATTTGATCTGATTGTGGCAATCTAGAAAAGTTAAATATTTCTGTGTACTAGTGATGTGTGTGCAAAATGATGATGGTAACTACTCTAGTACGTTATATTTGAGGGTAATGGAGTCACTGTATGTAAGATGTTAGATGAGGTCTTGACACATATTTAAGAAATACTTCCTTTTTATTATGATTTAGAAATGTTGAGTTAGGTGTATCCTTTTGGGTTTGTGTGACATAGTAACAGTAAGATTGCCTGGATTCAGTTTCTAGGTGGTCACATGGTTGGTTTTTCATGTGGCTGGTAATGTACCATTTTCTCCTCATGTTCTTGAGCTGTTATAAGCTCATACCAGAACTTTTTCAGTGCCATAGTCAGATATAAACTGACAGCCTTCTCTTGTGATATGTGGTAGGATTCCCTTTTGTATGCTTATGGTAGTAAGAAGGTTTAATCCAGATCAAAGGAATGAAGAGTTGAGTTGGTAGGTGACAGGACAGTTGGAATGGCCGGTGGCTTTCTGTGGAGGTCTGCTGTGGGCTGGCTCTGTACTGAAGCTTGTCATTGTGGTATACATTCTTAACTATGTTCACATTTTTTCTAATTACAAATCTTTAGCAAACTCCACCCTACCTTTACCCTTAAAACAAAACAAAAAACCAAACAAACAGAACATTGCCAATGAATTTTCTCTGTTTTGAAAGTTAACTTGGTAAATTTGGAGTATATAACTATGATATTTGGAAGCTGTCTAACTATTTCCATTGTTGCACCCTGATTGTCCATGGTTTAATCATCAGTAGGTGTGAAGGAAAGCACAAAATGGCTCCAGCCTGCACAGTACCATAAAAAATTTCCACCTGGAAGCAATTTTTCCTAAAAGCCCTTAGGGACTGCTGTCACCCTCCCTTGTCCATTGGCAGCAAGGGCTCAAAACACCAGCTCCATTTAGAGCCAGGCTTTGTTGTTCCTAGCTTCCATAGAGGGTTAGAGTTGAGCAGGGGAAATAACAAATTATTCCCAGACACTATTCTTTTCCTACAATGAAGTTCCTTGAACTTTCGTCTTTTCCTCTGATTCTTTCTGTAGTTAGTATTTTAGCTGAAGTACAAATTATTTGCATTGCTAGGATTTGAATTTACTTTTTGGTGAGAATGCTTATTATTAACTCTAGTGTTTGTCTGTAGAAAGTTGAAACATTTTTGGGTCCTGCCTTAGGCCCTTTGTCATTTTATAATGTCTTCTCAGTAGAGGCAGGCATTGTTCCATGTGTGAACTCTCCAGAACTCATGGTTCTTCAGGAGAGATAGACATGTAAATAAATCACTGCCATATGTGTATCTGGTGTTCACTGTAGTTCCCTTTCAGATATATGAGCAAATAAACTTTCTAAGGAAAAACATAACAGTCCTTTACAGTGAATGTCTTTAGTGATGCCCATTCATTCCCAGGCCTATTTCTATTATAGCTGGAGGATAGTAGTAGGTATTTGTTTAAGAACATTAAGGTAAAGCTAAGTGATGATAGTACTTTGGGTGAAATTTACATCAAACCACACATAAGTTCCCAAGGTCAAGGTCAGTTCAAATTTGTAATGTCAGTGTCTTAGTTCTTCATTGCCGTGACAAAACACTCTGACCAGTACCAACTTGGGGAGGAAAGGGTTTATTTGTCTTACATCTCCCAGGTCGCATGCAGTTCATCAGGGAGCTCAAGGTAGGAACTCAGGGCAGGAACCTGGAGGCAGGAGCTGGAGCACAGGCCATGGAGGAACGCTGCTTACTGGCTTGCTCCCTTGGCCCCTGCTCAGCCTGCTTTCTTATGCAACACAGGCCCACCTGCCCAGGGGTGGCACCACCCACAGTGGGCTGGGGCCTCCCACATCACTCATCAAGAAGATGCCCTTCAGACATGACCACAGGCCAGTCCAATAGAGGCAATTCCCCGATTGAGGCTCCCTCAACCCAGGTGTGTCAAGTTGACACTAAAGCTATCCAGCACAGTCAGTATGAGTGCCAAGTGGTAACTGATGTTACCATGGTTCTTAAGGAATAAGGTACACCTCACCACTCCTTATCAAGGAGTATTGATAAACTGAGTGTTTCAACAGATTTTGATTTTAAAAAAAGATCTTAAAATATAATAATTCCCAAACAGTCTACTATTGCACGCTGTAACAGATTAAAAAAAAATTTATTGCATGAATTTAAGAGTGTGTGTGTGTGTGTGTGTGTGTGTGTGTTTTGTAGTTGCATTATGGGGGTCAGAGGATAACTTACCAGGTTCTTTCAGCACTTTCCTTCTACCATGTGTGTTCTGGGGATGGAATTCAGGTCATTAGACTTAACAGAAAGCTCCTTTTACCCACTGAGCCATCTTGCTGGCCCACCTATTTGCTTTGATAGTAATTTTGAAATTTCCTCAAATTTTTGAAATTAAATGTTCAACATTTCATTTTGTTTTGGTTTAAATATTTAATATTTTAATAATCTGTAATAAATATATTGCAGATTTTTAAATTTATACATATTAATTTTTAAAAATATTTTTTTTATTTTTTTAGAAGAAGCATATCATTACAGCTTTAATATTCTCAATAACAGTTTCCAGAGCAAAGATACAGCTCTTTCAAAACTGCCCCAAAATTTTTAGGTTTGCTGTTGAATTAATACAGTTATATAATATTGAACTCAGTATAAGCCCTGTAAGACATAAAATTGAATGAGTTTTTAACCTTTAAAAAAGATCTCCATTTCATTTTAAAATATACTCTTTCTTACAGAAAGACTCATTGTTTTTGCTACTAACACTGAGATGTTGGCACATGTGTCTCTAATCTGTATACATATTAATTTTTAAACCTGTGCAAATCTTGGTCCATGATTTGTGTTTCTTTTGATTCTTATTTTAATGCTCTGTTTCTGTGCATGTTCTATGATTTTTTTTTTTGCTACTTAAGTTCTAGTTTAAAAACTTGTGAGAAGTCTAGAAATATAAGTTAAATTGTACTCCTCTAGAGAGGATTTATGTTTATTTTGTCAGTTATCTGTGGACATTGGGAAGCGGGGCTGCTTTTTAAAATAAAAAATAACAATTAGTATTCCTGAGATGATGTTTGGCTATATTGTCCAAGCTGATCTTCTGAACTCAAGTGATCCTCCTGCCTCTGCCTCCTTAAAGTTGAGATTAAAGCATGCCCCTCCATACTTGACTCTAAAGCAAACACTTAATTGACATTTTCTGAGACCACACAGAGTATGACTATGGTACTGTATTCTTGTGGTTTAAAATGATTGGAAAATTTCCATTTTCCTACAACTAGAATCATTACCAGGACGGGGAGGCTTCCTTGCAGGCTCTCCATATCTTTCACTGAGATACCTTGGCTTTATTCATCCGGAGGCCCCTTAATTTGTCTCTGTACTCTTTGAGGGCTAGAGTTTGTCTCTTCTCTTGAAGTCTACTGACATACTATATGACAGTATAACAGGAGCATGAGGCTGGAAGTGGTTGGCAGAATCTTGATTCCTGTTTTCCTTCAACTTCTGGAGATATTCCTTATTTTCTTTTTCTGTGTAGTCATGCACTAAAGGTCTAGAAACTTAATTTTGGTTTTTAAGATTTGATAGAAGTATTTTTTTATGGTTCATGTAATGACCTGTATTGTTCATGTTTTGCTACTGTCACTTTATTTATTTATTTATTTATTTATTTATTTATTTATTTATTTATTTATTTTTTGGTGTCTCCCCGTAGCTTCAGCTGGCCTGGAACTTACTATGTAGACCAGGTTGGCCTCCATCTCCCTGAAATCTGCCTGCCTTTGCCTCTTGAGTGCTGGGAATAAAGGAGTGAGCCACTATGCCCGGCCTTACTATTACTTTTAAGGATGGAAACAACTCTAATGTCTTTAATCCATCCCTCTGGTTTTTCAATGCATGTAGAGTTGAGTTTTCAATTGCCCTGGTTAACTTGGAACTCATTATGCAGACCAGGCTGGTCTTGAACTTGCAATGATCCTACTATTTACATTTATCCTCTTGAATGCTGGGATTACAGGCATGCCCCTATTCCCTTATTTCATTTTGTAAATTAGGACAAGGTCTTATTGTATCCAGGTTGGCCTTAAGTTTACTATGTATCTCAGGGATTATACATATGCATTTTACTCAATTTTTAAAATATCAGATGGTTAATTTATTGTTATATTAAGGTTTGAGGGAGGTATATGTCATGCAACAGTATGAATACTCAGTCATCACACTTATGAACCAGAAAAGGATCCTGCTTCAAATGCTCTTATATCTGGCAGCAACATTCATGATTCAACTTACTTTGCCAGGTATTCATGTCAGTCACTGAAAGATGCAATGGAGCAAATCTTTTTTCTTTTAACATAAATTTGTACAAAGGACAAAATGAAGCCATTAAAATACCCTGTTGAGCCTTTGTATCTTTAGTTATTGATAATGATGATTTGTTCCAAAGGATGACATTATTTTTATTATGGTAATAGCTATTGTAGTTTCCATATCATTTTTTTTTGACTTGCTCTGATTTCATTAATTTCCTGCTTGATTTATTTTAAAAATTATTTTAAAAATAATTTTTATATGTGAATATGTGTGTTTGTATGCCATGTATGTGTGGGTACCCACAGAGGCCAGAAGAGGGTTTTGGATCCTCTGGAGCTGGAGTTATAGGCAGTTGTGAGTTGCCCAACATGGGTGCTGTGAACTGAGCTTGGGTTCTCTGTAAGAGCAGGAAGTGCTCTTAGCTGTTGGGCATTCTTTCCAGGCCCTCCTGTTTGATTTCTGTTGTTGATTTCACTGATGTTTTATGACAAATTATCTGCCCCTGAAACTCCAGTGGTATTGGACCCAAACCACAATTTAAAAGTAGGTCCTTTGGCTAGGTGCCAGATGAAACTGCTCTACCCTGTCTTTGTCTATTCTTTTGAAACTTCCCATCGCTGGCTTCTCTTCTTACCTAAGGGAGATCTCACTCGCAACATCTTTTTGGTTGTCTGGACTGTCTAAGTGAAGCCAGTCGGGCACATTGGGATCTGGGAGAGGTAGAAAAAGGATTTGAATGTGTTTGCTCTCATGTGGTGGCACAGAAACATCTGGGTATTATATTAGTTACTTTTTGTGTTGCTTTGATCAATTACATGACAAGAAGCAACTTAAGGGAGGAGGGGTTTATTTTGACTTAACAGGTCAAGGGGATGCAGTCCCTCATGGTGGCATGGTGGGGGACTGAAGACAGTAGGGCACACTGCACCATAGTCATGAAGTATACAGTCAGGAAATGCTGTTGTGCAGCACACTTTCTCCTTTCTGCTCTGTTTCAGACTCCAACCAATGGGATAGTGCCTCCAAAATGGGTGGGTCTTCCCATTTCATTTAACAATGGAGAAACTGCCTCACAGACATTCCAGGGGACTTGATTCTTAGGTGATCGTAGAGCCTGTCATTATTAATCATCACAGGTGTAGTTTAGAGTCCATTAACTACAATATGCTTTTCCAGGTACTGATGATTATAGACAATGATCTATTTCATCCTTATGTACCCATAGCATCCAAATTATAATATTAAAGTCTGAATACAGTTGATAGATGTATTGAAGTAAGGCAAAGGGATGCAAACTCTTTTTGACCTCTTGTAGTTCTCTTTCAACATCATGCTCAAATCTGTTTTTCCACTTTATTTTTAACTTTTGGAATAAACAACAATACTAATGATGCTTTTGCAGAATTTAATGAGAAGAAAATGTTTGAGAGCAAAAACCATGACCGTATCTTAAAAAAGATATATGAAAAAGAAAAGACAAGAGTAGACTGTGGAATTTTTCTTAATCTAACCTCCAAATCAAAAAGCCCAGTCCTTTGGGTCTTGAAGTTCTCCCTGGTCCCCCAGACATCTCAGCAGATGGGCTTTGTTTCCTGCGTCACTCCTGCACCAGGAGAGAGCCACGTCAATTGCCTTCTCTTTCTTCTCTGTGACCATGTCCAGCATGTGTGGTAGATTTCTTCCACTTCCAGACCCTTTGCAAGCAGCTGGAGATAAATTGGTAAGACAGTCTTTACCCAAGGGAGAATAATGTTTTAGAATGAGGAGACTGACAAATAAACAGATCATTGGAATATAGTTTAATACATTTTGTGAGAGTGATACTTACAAAGGAGGTGTACATGAAAGAGTCTAAGTGATTAGAGAGGGCTCCTCAGAAGAGGTAAGGTGCAAGCTGAAATTTGAAGGGCAAATGAGAGTTACTTGTCTTTAAGAGGGTATAGACTCTGACTGTCAGTTATGTGTTTTGCCTGCCTCCTTTGAAGGCTGTGTAATGTTCTGTCATTTAAGGTACTTTCCTTTGCATATAGCAGAATATAGAGGGAAAGTGGCTTAAATAAAGGAAATTGAGTACTACATATACAATCTGGAGATGGGGATGTTCAGGATTTCTTTGCAATCCGGGACCCAGATAGTTTTCACCTTCATCAAGCTCAGAATATTGGCACTGTCTCCTCTTCTTTAGGGTAGTTACTGCACTCATCCCTAAGTATCTCAGTTTCATAGTACAGTGTCTAATATAGGAAAAGCAGCTTCTTTTTCCTGCATCATCCTCCTGGGGGATAAAACCCCTCATATAACACTGTTGCTCGACCTTCACCGACATATTTCCCTTTGCCCCTTCTCATTGTTGAGGTTTGTCACATACCCTATGTTAACTGGTCACTGACAAGGTGAACCATGGTTGGCTAACCCACTAACTAGTGTTTACCTCTTGTGGTACCATAGGAAGGTGAAGCACCAGAATGAATTGGGATTGCTTGAACAGAAAGAAGGCAATAGTTGCTGTTTAGGCACAGCTAATCAGCACCTGACTCATCCTGAAGTAGAGTCCCTAATCCCAACTTCTTGACAAGGTCTTCCCTTGTAGTCCTGACTGGCCTCAAAACTCTCCATCCTCCTGTCTCAGACTCCTGAGTGCTGAGATTATGAGTATGTATCACCCTGCCTGGCTTCTCCCTTATCTTTTTGACAAGCAGATTTGAACTGATGTTGACTCTATGTAAGTCATATAATTCTATAGTGGTGTAGTATAGGAGATGGTAAATATTGAATTCAATTCTTAAGTGCCATTTTATCAGTTAAAATTTCTCTTTTAATATGCTCTTGAAATCTAGGTAGGTATGAGACATAGTCTCATTATGATCTATCAAGGCATATTATCAGCTATACATACTAAGATGCATAGGTATTTTAGTTTTTGCAGAAACCTTTGATTTATTTAGGAGGTTTAAAAAATTAAACCCTGTAGGCCACTATTTATTTAGCTGAGTCAAAATCTAGCTATAAAAATTGTTAATTTCTATGCTTTTTTTTTTTTTTTTTTTTTTTTTTGAGCTGAGGACCCAACCCAGGGCCTTGTGCTTGCCAGGCAAGTGCTCTACCACTGAGCTAAATCCCCAACCCCTATTTTTCTTTTTTTTTTTTGTTAAACAGTGCTAGAATATTCTTTTGATCTTCATAAATAAGTCTCAGTGATATAGGTTTTGTTGTTGTTGCTATTGTTGTTGTTGTTGTTATTTTTCCTGTAGAGATTCTTATTTAACCGTATATATCTGGGCATGTCAGAAGCACAGGGAAGCATATGACTACTCTGAAGAGTCTGCACTTTTAAGACTCTGCCTTTTATTTTTTGACACAGGGTCTTATGAAACCCAGGCTTGCCTCAAACCTACTATTAATCGAGGATAGCCTTTAACCCCTGATCCTCCTCTTTCTTCCTCTCTAGTGCTGGGATTACAGGCATGTGTCACTATGTCCAGTTTCATACAGTGCTGGGTTTTCATGCATGCAAGGTATCCACTGAGCTGTATCCTCCACCCTGGACCCACAGGTTTTATAAAATAGAACTTTTAGATTTTTCAGCAGTCTTATTTGGATACATCAAATTCATGTTTTAAGGACTATTAGAAACTGGCCATCACTAGATGGCAGTCTTTCTCTACTTTAAGCTGTTTATTCAGAAGGTAAGAAAGTGCTGTACTTTATTCATGAAGAATGCTGACTGCCAGAATAAGGCTAACTTTAGTAGAACTGACCTTCCAGAGTTTAAACTTGTTTATTTATTTTTGTATATATATTTTTAAACTTTTACAAAAACTTTATTGAGAATTTCATACATGCATATAAGGTGTTTTGATCAAATTCATGCCCACACCCTCCCCTCCAACATTCCCCCCTCTGAAGAGGTAACCCTAAAATCTTTTAAGGATTAGTGCTTTTGACATTTTTGGCCTTTGGAACAGAGTATGTTGCTACCAGGCCCAAGGACATTTTGACTTTTAGACCAGAAACTGGCTACATTTCTTTTGGGTCTTATTACCCTAACTGCCTAGCCAATTCCTACCTCCTATTCTTATCCTATTCTTATTTGGGTAATCCTCTGAAGGGGTTACCCAAATTGCCAATAGGGAATCGGGACACAGACCGCTCTGATTTCTTCCATGCTGAACAGGGATGCAGGGTGAGGCAATTGGAGTGCCCCTTCAGTGGGTATATCTAAAAGACTCTTACCTCTAAGGGGAAAAGAAAGTCCTTGAATCATGAATAGGAGATGTGAAGGAGAAGTAAAGGCAAAAGTACTTAGCATTACAAGTTCTAGACAGGGAACTAGAAAAAAGTCAGAACAGGGCAATTTTCAAATGTTCATATGAAAGTCCCCTGGAGTTTCTTGGCAAGGGCTCCCAAAATCATCCTTCTATTAGGTTCTTCCTCTTTTTTTTTGTCTTCCAAGGCTGGACTAGTTGGCTGGGAAGAGTGGCTGGATATTCAGCTGAGGGTCCAGTGACCCTGCTTAGCACTCCTTTAATGAATGAGCACAACTGTCAGCAAGCATAATTTTGACTATGTTTAGTGATCAGCTTAACTGAAGTCATGATAATGGTAGTTATTTCACACAGAAGGGACTGCTGTATAGCATCATCTTATTAAAAGGACCTGGAATTTAAAAGGATTTGGTCTGTAACTTCACTTAGTATATTAGTTTCTAGATCCTTCCACTTACCTGCAAATTTCATTATTTCATCTTTCTTTACTGCTGAATAGAACTCCATTGTGTAAATATGCCACATTTTTGTTAACCACTCATCAGTTGAGGGACACTTAGGTGGCTTCCATCTCTTAGGTATTGTGAAAAGAGCAGCAACAAACATGGTTGTACACGTGTCTCCTTTGGGAATATGCCAAGGAGTGGTATAACTGGGTCATAT